ATAATTGTACAAAATAACATACTCACTGCTGGGTAGCAAAACCCGTAACCTATAAATATTACTAGGTACAGGGTTTCCCCAAAGTGATTTACTGTGTGACCTTTACCGCAACTTTCATCAATTTGTATTTGCTCTGGAAGTGGTCCATATTTGGAAATCAGTATGCATGCCTAAACAGTAGCAGCTGACCAAGTGCTTGACTCGGGCATTGCCGAACAATTCAGTTATGGACTGCTACTGGGCTAGGCACCAGGTCATTATCCTGTTGAGCGTCGTCAGGGATATTTTGCGCATTTGGCCGAAGCTTAAAATACCATATAATCCTAAACACTAAAGAATTTAATTTGCTGCTTTGGTTATTGGTCATGTGTTCAAAAAAATAAGAGGGAAGCAAATAAACTGGTGGGCATGCATGCTCACGAAATAGCGCTACAACCGCGACGTTTTACAGATGAGGTGGTATGTTTTGGACCATAAGAAGTTTCCCCTCCCCTTCGTCCTATTATTTATACCCTTCAAGTCTTCCAGGTAAAAAGTGAGCTACGTGTTACGCTTCCAGATGAAGTTCTAGAACTGTAAAGGGTTATTTCAGGAGGCTCTCGGCCAACTCTGATCTAACCTACAGGGTCTTGTGGCATTTTGCCGTAAACCTTCCGCATTAAGTCTGGATAAGTCGGCTCTTCGGTGTTGATTTTGACACAAAGACACCTGCCTCCTAGAGGATGTGAATGGCCTGGCCAACTGCTGGGAAGGGACTGTTATTCTTCAGTGTTCGTTCGGACCTTGTTATGTTTCCGCGATAACGGAAGTTTACATTCTTTCAAAGAATGTGTCAAATGAGTGATTTTATCACACCTAGTGTCCTCGGCGCCCCTCTGGTGAATTTGTTTTGGTCTAGTGGTAACTCGATTTACTGTCATATTTTGCTGAAGAGGCCACACGTGAATCCAGATGCGGACCTCGTCTCCGCTTGCTTGCAAATAATTCATGTACATAATGACACACGCATACGTTTTTCGCCGGAACAGTCTGACATTCAACTGGCTCGCCGCAAGGAGAATTGCCCAATTACTTACAGTTCATCCAGAAACTTTAACCACACATAAGGCCCTGCACTTACAAGACTGCTTATCGGATTTGGATGCGAAAGTCTGAAGTGCATTTCCGAGTGTCTGTCCATTCGGCCGTCAGTTATGATCTAACCTCAACTCCAGTATACAGTTGTAGGCAACCAAAATAATAAAAAGTGAATCCATGTTCCCATATCAATGCAAATAACTGCAGGAGCGAATTAATCCCGACATCACTTAATTTTCCAATGGTCAAAGAAATGAGTTGCCCAACAGTTTATTTACCTCACCGATTATTCAGGAACGGAGATAACACTGGAAAGAGTGGATAAGGTTTCACTGACACCAATAGAAGCTTGCCCTACTTCCCTATTAGGCCAAATGTCACGCATCAAATCGGAACCCAAAAAGGAGCTCAAATACCCAAGGCCCTGCGCGTGGCCCTAAGTGGTCAATCATGCCAGATAAGGCTCAACTACCAAATAAAATGAGCGTATGGCTAGGCTGAAACTACTGTCTGTGTAAAAAGGACACACAAACCCCGGGACACGTAATATTCGCCAGTACAAGGTGGACTGAAAGTGCAAAAACGCCATCGGAAGTCCTTCACGTAGGCGAAAAGGCTGACTCATCACAATAAGTAATGGTCGGTAGAAAATGACCCAAACTGTTGGCCAAATTGATATGACAAACTACGTTGTCTGAAAGGTGCCGCAGTAAAAAGGTGACGCGAAAAACCTCACAGTGGCTATCTAACAGAAACAAAACACAGGAAGAGAGACAAAAATGAGATCAAGTTCGTTGGCATCGTCCGACAGAGGTGGGAGATGGTACTGCGACGTGGGTTTAGGTTCCGACAGATGACACTGAATTTGACTTTTATGCACGATACATCTACTTCAGCCCACTATCAGTCTATGCGCACAGACAGAGTCGGCTGGATGCAAAAGAAGAGTTTTATAGTGGGAGAAAGAGTGTCTAAAAAGGACCGAGAAATGCAGAGGTAAGTGATTTGAACATGAATATGCGCCTGGATGAAGCTTCAGGAAAAAACAAAACGAAAAAAAGAAAAAAAGCCAGTGAATAAAAGCAGGTACTCGGACCACTGACCTTATCGAAATTCGTGGTGTCAAATCGTGAGCGAACTTTGGGTCGGAAGGGCGGGCGAATTTTCCGTTCCTCCAGCAACGTCCAATCAATTTCGCGGAAGAATGGATGACGCTGGATAGCAGCTTCCCCTCCCTCAGAAGGGACACAGCCGAGTCGACGAACTGGTGACTTCAGCAAAAACTTGAAAAAAATACGTAAAATGCACGCATAACAGGGCCTGAGACCAAAGCATCTGCACGAACAAAGCAAGAGAAGTGACAATCTCATTAGGCATCACTACGCTTATTTCGCATAAATGCGTACTTATTTAGTAGTAGTAGGCATTTTTCTCGTTATAAACGTATGTCACAGTGCATCCACATTGCA